CCTTGGGGTATTCTGCTGTTGAAATGATGCACTTTCGAGGTCATTTTCAGCAAATTTGCTATCCACTGAATGAACTTACAGTGCATGAGAAAACTAACTAAATATTACATTGTACCTTTTGCACGATATACGGACATAGGGGCCGCAACAAATCGGCTATGAGCCAAATATGATACATATCACGAATATTGGGTAATGAATACAATAACAAGTCAACATCTGAAGCATTATTAATTATCTTCAGCGAAACAATAATAAAATTAATTCCGACATGTCTTTACCATGCTGACAGTGTTCATTTATCATGACAGTCACCAGAGACGCCATTACTGTCAAACTAAATATTATGAGTGTTGACCATTCTCCTGCCTGGCTTAGATCTATCCATTTTGCATATCTTTCCTTGATAAATAACAATCAAATTCAAGTCAAAACAGTCCTTTATAAAAAATTCATGAACATTTGATTCTTGTGATCATGAATAACAAACTGAATTCACGAAAGTTTATGGTTCGATTCACCAATATGCATTTGTATCATAACATCCCAAATGGACACCTGAGAAACAAATAACTTTGCCTGACTTGGCATTAATGTCAATATATGGAATACCTTTGTTACATTGAAACCATTCATTTTAACTTCCATTAGCTCAGTGGAAGGGCATTGTCAGTCCTTACTAATAATACATGAGTTCACTCATCCATACATGTGTCCGAGGACATTTCTGTACAAAACATAAATTTAAAATATTTTTGTTCGTTAATCTAAAATATGTTGCTGCAGATCAAATGTGGATTACAAATACCAAATCTGCTTTTTTACAAGTTTAGACAAGGTGAAGAAAAAAACTCATGAAATATAATCATGTTGTTTCATGTCCATGTCCATGTCTGAAACCATGTCGTAAGATACGCAAACGATCACACACAAATCTTTTATCAGGGAAACATGCTTGAAAGGAATGCTATAAAGGACTTCATAACTGAAGAGAGAGGCGTTAAAGCAAGAAGTAATGTTTCTATTCACACAAAGTTGACTTTTCAATAAGCTTGTTCCTTTCTTTTCAAGTTTCAATAGTTAATGCAAGGGTGGAGAGCGTCTCACCCTGCCTTAACACTCTCTCCAACATATGACCCAATACTGAAGAACACCAACGTCAGCCTTCAACTTGTATCTCATTACAGATCAACAGCAAGCCTTTCCACTTAACAGAAAATAGCTATGCAGCAATTCAGTCTCAAGTCGTAGCCTATTTAATATCAGAGTAAACTTACTCCCCATGGGTTCAGAAAGAGCTCAAAGAGGCTAACTTTATTCAAAACGCTTCCCACAGCAAAACTCCACACAAAAGCATAATGGTTGTGTAAAATCTTGCCTGTATGACTCAGAGAGAAAAGAGGCGATATTCAAACTACATGGATGCATTACACACAGGGGTAAAACTTTAGCTTTTCAATGGCCGCCCTAAGCTGGGACATGGGACAGCAGATGGTTTAATTCTTGACACATTAAACGGAGAAATACTGGTTAAGTCGGCACCTAATTCACATCAGCTGGGACGGCAGTTCTCAAACCCTGCAACAGGTTTCAACATTGTATTATTCTCCCGTCTCCTCAAGTGCCACTGTTTAATACAGTTATGTATTTCAATGGATTTGTAAAGCCACGGTCAATACTGTAAATTCCAAATATTTAACCGAAACGTGTCGTGCCTTTGACTGCAATTTCTTAAGACTTATACTCACTTTTCCCAATGGTTCTATTCCAGCTGTATTAGTTTATATGCTCTAATAAATGTGAGCGTGTGGCACACCGTGTTTATTGTCATTATCTCATTGATTTCAGCACAACTGTTACACAGTATCCAAACTATGTGCTATCTCAATAGAAACACGCCTATTTTTTCTCTCTAGCATATTAACAGAGGCCGCAACATATGTCTGCATGTGAAACTGAATTAGAACTTTATTTAAGATAACTTAGCATTTTCTTCATTGAAACTTGAAAATAATAAACATGTCTGCTGCTTCCCAACTGAAAATAACACCTAAATATAACGTTTTTAAATTTTAAAATGGATTTTTTCCTCCACTCTCTCCAAAATTATGGTCTTGTTTGAGTGATCTTAAGAAATGTCTATGACAAGGCCTTGTTGACATTTTACAGTGGTATATTAGGGAATCAAACCTTGGTGTGAGTGAGACAAGCAAACACTTTACCTACTAGGCTAGCCAACAACCAATATCTTGGTAGGGGCTCACTTTCAGAAACCTGTAATAAGGGGAAGCTTTCAAAGAGACAAGAATCACATGTGAAGCTTTGAAACCAATGAAATTACTGATTTTGTTACGTCCTCATAAATTTCAACTACCTCAAATCAAAGGGTCAGGCATGCGAATTTCTGTCGATGTTCAATCTCAATGATTTTTTCCTCTTTCCTTTTTTGGATCCCAAAAGTACAGCACCGAAACAATACATGATAACAGTAACCAGATGTCTATCAAAGCGTGGTGATATTATAGGCAGGGAGACAGCAATCAGGATTCAAGAGGCATCAAGTGCACAAGGAAGTAGTGACAAGATCCCCACTGCCCCAACATCCTCTCTATTGGTATGTGAAAAGATTAAACTAATGTCTGGCCAGACTATATGTCAAATGAATCCACACATAATATGACCACATCTTACAGCATACACTTGGAGGAGTGGTATTTCATCAATGACAGCTTATCATGGCCTGTTTGCAAACTTCCTCTTCCCTAGGGCTAATTAGTCAGTTGCAATTTTTCAAAGCGGTGTTATCCTCCACCGATATATTTTCAAGTGGAACGATTCTCAATAATTTACAGCATATTTACTTTAAGGAAAGATCTTTAGTTCAAATTTATCTTGAAATAATTCATGCTGTAGAATATATATTACACGAAACTTGCTTAAGGATGAACACTGACTTGAACTTTATCCTGTTCTGAGTAATGGTGCACTTTGTTTCCAGTTCAACTGATCAGCAGCTGATTATTTTGAAAGTTTTAAAAATGTTTGGCATTTTCCAGTTTTCTACATACAACCATGATGTATATCATAAATACCATTTTCAACTTAGGTCATATATGATAGATAATCTTTCTATCAATTCCAAACGTTTTTGAAACGTGACCCATTATAGATCTGAGTAACAGTAATTATTGGCCAGTGTTCAACACAAGTAAACCAACCCTTTACTCAAATATATGTCTGTTATTACTAAATAAACGATGTTTTTTTAAAATAATTCCATTTCCAAAAGAGCTGCAGGACAGGATGTTTCTTGTTAATTATTGAAATATATTAACCTCCATTAAGTACACGTTCAATCATGTTTTCTCTGAACACAATTATCACACGGTTGATCAACTTCATAGATTCAACAATGAAAGCATATTGTTTGAAACTCATATGTACGCAACAACAAGTTCGCATTTAAATCAATCTTTCCTTCATTTGTGAAGTGAAATTTCCGCGAACAACAATGCATCATTATTCTGGTATGAACATGAAAATATCCTACGTGTAATTAAACAGGAAAATGATATGACATGTACCATTAGAATGTATGCTACCACCACTTTCAACCCATCCATATTCTGAACATGTGCAAACCCTACCGAACACATGCTGAATTTTTAAACAAATAGAAATGAATGGTAAGCAGTCCACAACTTGAATAACCCTGGCTTGTCCTGGATAGTATCTACCCAATAATCATAAAAACATTTTGCCAGAAAAGCACATGTGTATACAGTGAAAATGACCTGAATATTTAATGGTATTTGTTCAGTAATCTGAGCAGGAATGGAGTCAGTCATATTGATGCATAGCATTGCTACCTGATCAGCATCTGTGGGATCATCCCCCAACTTCAGGACATCCTTTGTATTGTTTCAAATACTTGAGAACAAACAAACCATCTGAATCTTGTTACCATACCAACAGTAACTGTCAGCAACAAATACAATCAAACTGATCATTAAAGTATTTAAAATATGGGGAATGTAAATAAAACAAATATTCACAGATTAAATTCTCAGCCATATGTTTTCAGTCTATATGGACCATCCACACTTGTAGGACACTGTTAGAATATAGCGCTGTATGAAAATGCAAACTGTTTACACTGTATGACATCATGGTGATATTTTCCCTATGTGATATTGATCGTGTAGGTATTAATTTTTAACTATCCTAGACACGATATACGTGGTGACGAGTTGAATAGGCTAACATCAGAAGAAACAAACAAATCAAACGACTGAAGCTACTGACTGAAATCCACAAGGCAAGTTTTTTTTGACAACATTGTGAGTCAACCTCATGCCGCCATAATGCGTTCCGCTTCACTACACATTCAAAGTTCGCATGTATGGGTCTTTTCCTTACTTTCATACCATTGTTAAAGTCACGCCTGCAAGCCTAAACAGGAAACTTGTTTTCACTTTACAAATGAATGTGGCTGAGAATCCACAAAGTATATAATCCATTCGCCTCAGTCCATATAATCTTTCTTGTGTAAATGGCCCCTAAATGGTCATAAATTAGATTGATGTTTCTGTTACTCTTTGTGAAAGTGTCTCCATTCCTCAAACCCACCTGTTGAATTCAGACTCTTCCACCTTATGGGTCTTTTACATTCCAATATGGCTTCAGCCAAAATTGAATTTCAACCCCTGATATGCTCCCTATTAAGAAGGCATGGATCTGTGTGAATTCAATAAATCTGACAATTCCTTCACACAAAACTGGAGGTCGGAGTGAGGCAGAAGCAGAGAATTTCATTTAATGGTGTAATTTTGCCAGCACATCATCAAATGAGAAGCATACCATTAACATGCCGGCTTCTACTGAAGCAGACGACATCGCCAGGCCACGACAAAGGCCCACAGTCGGACTGACAGCAAAAACCACAATTCATCAAGCATGTATTCTACACAAGTATGTGAACAAACGCAGTGGGTACTCACCATATCCTGTTTGAGAGAGATTGGTATGTACTGGACATAGTAGTAAGGGTGCATCCTGGCTACACCGCGTAGTCGTTGGCGAATCGTGGTGGCAGACGGAGAGCGGCAACACTAACGGGAAAGCTCAACGACAGTTTGTAATGGTACTCGTACAATTAACGAGTGAGAAAGAGACACTGACTGCAGAGTGTGGACAGCGATTCACCTAGTTCTGTTGGGACAGTCTGTGAGACTGTTTAAACCATTCCTCTCATTGACTGAGTGTCTAATGCTGCTTCTCCACCGTGGGACAAACTACCGACAGCAGCCTAGGTCCTATTGACAACAGCCTCAATACTGCCTTTTGTTGTGCTTACTACACTGACAAAGCCAGCCACAATTATTGCACGTTTTTTGAATTGGGAAAATTGCCGACTTGAAGCATAGTCATTGGTTACTATTAGTCGTGGCTAGTATTGTGACTGTGAGAGTGTAATCATAAAAGCGTGCAAGCTGGCTGCTGCGTGTACGGGTATCGCAGTAGTAGGAGTGTCTATTTCCATGTCAATTCATCAATCAATCAAGCAGATCGCTGACAGGGCGTCATATTTCATGTCTCCCCTATTCGTTCCCCACTCTCACTGGCTGGCAGTGCCTACAGGTAACTCTTCACTAATTACACGTAAATGAGGCTTTGATCTCCTCTCATCGCTTACACCTGAGGGAAGGGGGAGGCTAGATAACGACACGGTCTGCGTACCATGCCTCTTCGGGGGAGGAACAGGTGTCACGTCCGAGTTAGTACAGGTGTCGTTTAGCATGTGGCCATGGCAATTTATCAATTAAGCCGATAGGTGAGCAGTAGCATATGTGATAACTACAAAATGATACAAAGAGGCATACAAAGGAACTCGGAGGCTGCAATTAGGCTTGATTACGTGAGGATATGCTGTTATGGAATTCAGAATGTCAAATGAACATATGTTCAAGGATGACCTTATGCTCAGGTATCAGGTAACTTACTGTGACTTATCATAAATAGTTATGCATATTCATTATTCCTTTATATATGTATATATAACGTTGCATACATTTTTCCAGATAACGACTGTGACACTACTTTTAGTACAGCAAAACAAAAACAGAATCATTTAGCATTAGGTTCATAAATATATGAATAAATATGGAATTTCAAATATTTTCAAAAATATTTCAAATGAAATTACTTTTTCATGAGACACTCAAAAACACAATATATTTAATGAAAAGTTCTATACACCGAGAAATGTCTACAGATAGCATGCACTAAAATTCAGTGTGGAATAAGAATTCAATGTCATTTCAAAATAATGGTGTCAATGATCCTAGCCAAGCTTATAAAAGGGAAGTAACTCTGCACAACCTGACATTGGAAACTCAATATGTGATGAAGAAATAGCATTTGACATATGTCAGCTACTACCAAGGGAAATGAGCGTGCTTGTGTAATACTGGGAGCCGTACACCCCGGCCTCATGTGTAAGTCTCATTATGCACACTACCAGAAACCGGTACACAGACAGCAAATATGGATTGCCCTCAGCAAGACTTTGAACAGCAGCAGAGAAAACAATTCAAATGATAATCTCAATTCAAATGCTTGAATAATGGGTGATTTTTTTTTATTCAAATGCTTTGATTAAGATGAACAGTGAATTATTCGGGAAGTGAGGCAGTACAGTTGAAGGTAAATGAATGCCTCTACTACAGTTAGAACACAGATACTTTTATTCAATGGCTGGTCACTATTTTGGTCAGGTGGAGTGAGTGAGTGAGTTTAGTTTTACGCCGGACTCTGCAATATTCTAGCAATATGATGGCAGTCTGCAAATAATCAAGTCTGGACCAGACCTTGGTCGGGTGGAGTACATTGACAAGCTGATATAGTCTAGGGCCTAGAGTTTCGAAGCTTTCTTAGCGCTAAGATAGCCGTCAGTTAATGTTAATGTATGGCACTTAAGACTATCATAGCGCTAAGACAGCTTCGAAAATCTAGGCCCTGGGGTCCGATCCACAAAGTGTTTGCAGCACTACGTAATTTGTAATCCTGTGATAAACTATATAGTTACGATAGCTCATAACGCTGTGGATGGTTTGTGGACCCTGGAAAGTATGAGTGAGTTACAATTTACAGTCACATGGGCAATATTTCAGCCATATCGTGACTGGAAAGTATGAACTGCAGGGGCCGATCCAGAGGGGGTGTGGGGGTGTGCACACACCCCTCTCCCCACAAAACATTTTCCCGGGGAGCATTTCCCCCTAGCCTTGGACTTCATTATTTATGTGCACCTCCATTCTCCAAAACCCTAGATCTGTCTCTAAGGTGTATAGGCAAAGGAAATTCTTGTGCTTTGTGAAACTCGTACATTAAAACATGACCTGATTTACACAACAAACCCTGACTGCATGAACAGGACAGTACATGACGTAAACTGTCTGCTTTGCATGTGGTTGAGTTAGTGTAATCTGCAGTGGATAGTTCAGCGTACTAGCTAGGGCACTAAAAGAGAGAATTATGTTAAGACAACAGCACAGCTCTGCTTCTCCCTGTTCTTGTGACAGTATATTTACATACCAGTAAAGTACTGGCACCCACGGTCTTATAAATATAATACATAAAAGTAAGGTATGGCTTACCAATATTTGCATACATCATCCAGAAATTCTGCAAATTTTATCCTGAATTTAAAATTACCTTTCAATTTCAATTTTACTATTTCCTTGCACATAAAATCTATATGAGACAATAATACCGTTTTACATACTGCTGTTCTAATCAAACATATAAGTAATCCTATCACATATTTGTCATTAAATAAGTATTATTGTTGAAAAGTACACAACTCAAAACGAGTTTTTCATAAATGACGAAAAGTCATGATCAATATGACAAGGGCATCTATTGCGAGTAATAGCAAATATTATTGTTCAATAAAAAATTAAAAAAATATACCAGTCAAAAGGATTTTTTCATTTGACTATAGGCTGAGATTAACTTCAGTGATATGAAAAATAGAATGTTGTTTAACTTCCTTTGCATGGAATATATTGAGTAAGATGATATTACTTTGTTACAGTGTCAGATAGCAACAGGCTTGGGTTCCCAAGGTGTTTTGAATGGTGTTTATATTTAAGGTCTATATCTTAACATTCTAACAGAAGGGGGCCTGTGAAAGACATGACATTTATCAACGATAAGATCTTGTTTATTGTATGACATTTATCAACGATAAACTCTTGTTTACATTTTCAATGATGTAATTTGTATTTTTGTTTGACAAAGGTCTATCAATTGTTCAAAATATCTTGTCTATGGCAACAAGGAGAATAAACTCAAATGTTAACATTTTCAATGATGACAAAGCAAGGTTGTGATCAATTGAATTTGCATTTTTGTATGATGACAAAGCAAGGTTGTGATCAATTGTTCAAAATATCTTGTCTATGGCAAAAGGACGTGATTGAGTGAGTGAGGATCAGGTGATGATGAAACTTCAGACAAAGCAAATCAATTGTTCATCGGCAAAAGGACAAAGGAGCAGTAAATAATAGACTTTGTGTGATGAAACTTCAGATAAAGCAAGGTTGTGATCAATTGTTCAAAATATCTTGTCTATGGCAAAAGGACATGAGTGAGTGAGCATGTGAGACGTGAGTTAGTGAGGCGATGAAATCGTCAAAGGATCAGTAAATAATAGACCGTGTGATGAAACTTCAGACAAAGCAAGGTTGTGTTCAATTTTTCAAATTATCATGTCTACGGCAAAAGGGCTTAAGTGAGTGAGTGAATGAATGAGTGAGTGTGAGAAAGAATGAGTGTGAGAAAGAAATCAAATCTTCAAAGGTTCAGTAAATAAGAGACTACAACAGGAAGGACTCCTGCTAGAACATGACTGGTCGTGAACATGTGAGCCTCATATGAGTTAGCGATCACATTGCTACAGTTATGTGACACTAGAACCAACAACGCAAATGCGTGTTACACTGAAATTTAATGGCGACACTTTAATGGACGTAATGCTCCATTGTAATATACCACTGCCAAGCAACAGATACATCCAATACCTCCCACCATTGTTACATTTGGCTTTGTTGTCCCTCATTGCTAAAGCAATTAACATTACGGTTGTATTTTATGTTTAAAATAATTCAATATTTTTCTGAATCCATCCACAGCTGTAATGGAGTCAGTTCAGATCCCACCATGGATATATACCAAATCATCCAAAATGTCCTGGTTGGGAATATTTTTTAAGTTAGGTATGTGAGGTACAAGAGCCATGAAAGAGCATTCTAATCACTTTGAAAAATCTTTTGAACTTGCATCTTTCTCACCTCAACGCAATGAACTCTTTACTCAACTGAGGGCAAGTCACCCCTTCCACACAACAGCCCACATTCTTCCTACGACACTTGTCTCATTTTCACTCTTGTATTTCAATTTGACAAAATGTACCCTCAAATGTGTTGGCGAACGGACCGCCATGTGAAGGTAACCATATTTGTCACTGAGACAGCAAAATTAATTGTAAACCTATAAAATAAGCACAGACAAAAATAATAGATAATTTCTTGGCAGCAAAGATCCATTGCTCTTCCTAGTATATTCATGTTTTTCCCCTAAGATAGGACACATATGAAAGTGAGCATGTTCAGATTCAGCAATACATTATTCCAAATGTCTCCATGAAAAATTAATTTTAATTACACTCCCCACTTGTATTCAACATATGAACCGCAAGTTGCTGTGTGTCGCATCAACCTCCACAAATGTAATTTCAAGTTCCAGAACAATTTCATTATGCCATATAACGCATTGGAGTTTGACAAGGAAGTAATTTTTTCACATGTAGTATATGCTGTACCGGATCTAGTCGGCCATATTTGTGCTATATATATAATAGAGCAGAATAAATGCGGAAGTATCAGCCAGTATCAGATAGTATCTGCTGGTTTGTTAGAGACCAAGAGGGCAATATCTGCCATAGTATCAGACCTAGTATCTGCTGGTTTGTTAGAAACCTAGTGGGCAATATCTGCCATAGTATCAGCCTGTATCTGCTGGTTTGTTAGAGACCAAGTGGGCAATATCTGCCATAGTATCAGCCTGTATCTGCTGGTTTGTTAGACACCAAGTGGGCAATATCTGCCATAGTATCAGCCAGTATCTGCTGGTTTGTTAGAGACCAAGTGGGCAATATCTGCCATAGTATCAGCCTGTATCTGCTGGTTTGTTAGAGACCTCGCAAGTGGGCAATATATCTGCCATAGTATCAGCCAGTGTATCTGCTGGTTTGTTAGAATATCTGCCACCTTCTGCTGGTTTGCAATATCTGCCATAGTATCAGCCTGTATCTGCTGGTTTGTTAGAGACCTAGCAGGCAATATCTGCCATAGTATCAGCCTGTATCTGCTGGTTTGTTAGAGA